CGCTGAAATTACGCTTTTGATACCCACCCCTTATAATAAAAAGCTATATATAAATGAAAACATTGGTCATATTAGAGCTCGTGATAACAACTAAAATGTAGTTGACATAAGCTTTTTTATTTTGAAAAAAAAATCTTTCGTTACTACCAAAAGCAAAAATTATATTTCATGAATCAAATTTATAAATATCCTAAATTTTAAAGTAATAACCGTATACAATTAATAGATATGACATCGGGAGACCGAATTGCAAAACTAGCAACATGTGCTTTGAAAGTCACACATTTTTATGAGTTACAGATGAGCCGGAAAATGGACACCAAAAGAAAATCCCATTAAATATGCACCTTGCGTCAACAAGATTTCTTTAATTCCAGTTGCTTCAGGTAATCAAATCCCAGAAATACGTTGTGTATTCTACGTGTAATAAACACAATCATCGTATACAGAATACGAAAGCCTGCATCTATGCACACAAATTTAAGGGATTCTTTTTTGTCCAATACTTGAGCCTGAGCCACATTCAATTCTTGTAAATACGGGTCCCGTCTTAAAGCTGGTAACAATAAAGTGTTTGTTAGATTCATTATCACGAATGCATTTTAGAAGAACTATGATTTAAGGCTACAAGTGGCAATATAATTTGTACTCATACGTAGTAACCTTTCTAAGGATTTTTTTCCCCAAAATCATATGTTTGTTTTAGGTATTTTTAAGGTTTATGTCAAACATATTTTTGTTTTTGAATAAAATAATAAATATTTGCATCATTACTTTAACAAATCGGCCTACGTTACAAAATAAAAAGAAACATTCAATATTCATAAGATTTCAGCAGACGTTAATCTTTCTGGATAGATTTTTTTTTCAATCTTTTTATGAGTATTTTTATTAATCCCTCACTTTTAAGTAATAAATGTAAACACAGCAATCAACTAAAGTAAGCACGTTTATCTCTCAGTTTTAAAGGAATGAAATACATGAAGGTAGCGAACAATATTCAAGATCAAAAGTCAATTCAAACAATACAATTCAGGAGCAGAGAAAACATGGACCTCTAAAACGTCAGATATAGGATAAGGTGCCATGGAGGAGTGAGCATCCCCTACCGACCGGTGACAACCGCCGTGTAATCCTTTTCGTGATCGGGAAAAATCATTTTGCATTTGTCATTTGTGTTTTTGAAACAATTCAAGACCTAGCCACATATGACATACCAAGAAGAAAATCATCTTGCTCCATATTTTCATAAGTGAAAAGTGAAGTATGACCAGATCAAAAGCAAGCGAAAGAAATTCGGGACTTTTTAATTGGTCATATTTAAAAGAGAACATGGGATGCAATGATGTATTGCATGTAAGTTACACTGAAAAAATATTTGTTAACACATTTAACCTTAAAAGATGCTTTTCATCATAGAGTCACGCATCAAACAAATCGCTCATCGATTTGTGGTCCTAATAGTATTCAGTAAAATGTACATGTCAAGCAGATAAAAATCCACTAACATTTTGATATTCATCACAAACTTTGGGTTTTCGTGCAACTACAAAATACTCACAGTTGTTCTAACTTTTGCAACCCGTTAAAGGTGTTGTTTTGAATTGTAGTTATTTTGTTGAAATCCAGCCGTCTAAAATAGATTTTTGAAATTATTTAATCGAGTATTTTTGCTATAAGCATTCCGTCTTTTGCCTTCAAAATCAAAAGAAATAAACAGAATCTCTGAACATGTTTACAAGTATAAGTCTGAGTGATAGTTTACTTGTAATTTATGTTATTTTAATTTCTTTAATGTTCATATCTTGTTTGATATGGATATCTCTAACGTACTTTTTTTCCAATAATTATAAATAACAAAATTTTCCAGAAGCATTTTGTATTTTGTTAACTAAAATCAAACATAGCTGCAAAGTAGGAATAATGATTAGTCCATTTTAAATTTTAAATATCTATCCGTATTTTCTAGCTAGCACCGAAGTACTTTAGCTACTGGGCTGTAGATCCATAGTACAGTAAATTCTGTAATGCATTACATTTTAAATAAATATATCCTTTAATCATACTATCCATTTAATTCGCTCCAAAATTACATCCTATAAGACATAGGCATATATACTGAATTGTGGGAATTGTTTTAATTCCGAGTGTTTGTAAATTATGCCTCTAGGGTGAAGAAATGTGTTTTCAAGCCTCTTGATTTTATACCACCCGCTTGAAAAGCAGGAGCATATGTAGTGATGGGGTGTCCTCCCTTCCGTATCGTCGGTGTATTCGTCCGTCCGCTGAAATTACGCTTTTGAATACCTACCCCTTATAATAAAAAGCTATATATAAATGAAAACATTGATCATATTACAGCTGGATAACAACTAAAATGTAGTTGAAACAAGCTTTTTTATTTTTTTATTTTTATTTTGAAAAAAAAATCTTCCGTTACTACCAAAAGCAAAAATTATATTTCATGAATCAAATTTATAAATATCTTATTTTTAAAGTAATAACCGTATACATTTACTAAATATGACATCGGGAGACCGAATTTTTTGAAATTCACACATTTTTATGAGTAACAGATGAGCCGGAAAATGGACACCAAAAGAAAATCCCATTAAATATACACCTTGCGCCAATAACATTTTTTTAATTCCAGTTGCTTCAGGTAATCAAATCTAAGAAATACGTTGTGTATTCTACGTGTAATACACACAATCATCGTTTACACAATACGCATGCCTGCATATATACACAAAAATTTAGGGTATTCTTTTTTTATCAAATACTTGTGCCTGAGATATAATTATAAAATACTGTAGAAAATAATATTGATTGCACATTCAATTTTTGTTAATACTAGTCCCATTTTAAAGCAGGTAACAATAAGGTCTTTGTAAGACTCATTATTACAAATGCATTTTAGAGGAACTTTAATTTAATGCAACAAGTGGCAATATAATTCATACTCGTTTGGCAGAGTCATATTTATTTAAAATGCATTTTCCATTTTTATTAAATAACTTACTGAGCCATAGTTTACTTTATGCCATATTTGGTAGTAGTATAGTCTCCATTGATGAATTTGACTCACAAAATCTCATTGGCCAGTAAAGAACTATATGCGGTATATTGCATATGTTTGCCCCCACAAAAGTCAAATTTTGAAAACTTCCTGAAATGTGCTGAATTCAATAAATTGTACGAGAAATATAAGTTAACAGAAAATATTATAGTTCCAGAGCAGTGTATTCACAATTTCTGTTTTTATGACGTCACAAACTAGTCCGATTTTATATCCTTTTTCAGAAAGAGGACAAAATGGACAAAATTTCAACAATTTAAGCTTTAAAATTTATAGAGCGCATGTGTGTTCAGGAACAATATTGACATATTTCATTGATATTATCATTCTACACATTATATCAAAATATTTATCCTGAACACACATGCGCTCGGTGACTTTTATTTAAAATATCGACGAAATATGTACATTTTTCTGCAAAATTCATAAAAAACTGAAATTTACGTCATATTTGTGACGTCATTACGTACATATGACGTCATTACTTATGAAATTATTCAGTGCTTTGAAGTCAGCATATACTCCCCTGTGTAAGGACTTAATTAAATATTACTCCATCAAAGTTTGATTTTGGGGGGCAAATGTTGGTTAATACCGCATATAGTTCTTTGTATTCCCTTGTTTAACCAGTTTTTCTGCTATATATACTGAGGCATGGGCCCATCCCTGTCAGTGCGGGAAATTCAACTTACATATTACCAGCTGCCCGTTGTCACCACTTGAAAGGTAATTTTCTTAATCTATAATTTTTTTGTATTTTATTTATTAAGTCCAAGTTATAAGCTCAAATATTTTTCATATTTTTGAAAGAAGGGTATTTTACCTATGAAAATGACGTTTTGGATTTAGTAAACTTAAATTATATTATATTTGAAGTGAATAGGAAATAAAAGCATTTTGTCTCAATGTCTATGTGTACTATGAAATTGAATATATGTTTTTGTACTTCTAGATCTGCCATTGCTGCTTTTTCTTTTCCTAATAAATTTATGAACTGAATCTGCGTTTTCCATCTCTGCTTGGTTATACTCGTACGTAGTACCCTTTCTAAGGAGGATTTTTTTTTTCAAAATCATACCTTTGTTTTAAGTATCTTTCTGTTTTTATGACATACATATTTTTTGTTGTTTTTAACAGAATACTTCTTACAGACACGAATCGGCCTACGTTACAAAATAAAAACAAACAAACAATATTAATAAGATTTCAGCAGACGTTATTCTTTTCGGAAGGATTTCTTTTCACTCGTTTTATGAACATTTTTATCAATACCTCACATTTAAGTAATAAATGTAAACCCAGCAATCAACTAAAGCAAGCACGTTTATCTCTCAGTTTTAAAGGAATGAAATATATGAAGGAAACGAACAATATTTAAGATCAAATGTCAATTCAAACAATACAATTCAGGACCATATAAAACATGGACCTCTAAAGCATCAGAGATGGGATTAGGTACCATGGAGGAGTGAGCATCCCCTACCGGCCGGTGACACCTGCCGTGTTATCTTTTTCATGATCGGGAAAAATCACTCATCATTTGTTTTTGATGTTTTTGAAACAATTCAAGACCTAACCACTCCTGCTTCAAATTAACATACCAAGAAGAAAATAATCTTGCTCCGTATTTTCATGAGTCAAGTATGACCAGACCAAAAGTAAGCAACGGAAATTCGGGACTTTTTGATTGGGATGCAATGATGTATTGCATGTAAATAACACTGAAAAATATTTGTGAACACATTGAACCTCCAAAGATGCTTTTCATCATAGAGTCACGCTTGAAACAAAAGCTCATCATCTTGTAGTTCTAATAGTATTCAGTAAAATGACATGTTAAGCAGGTATAACTCCACTAACAGTTATTACTATTGAAATTCATTACTAACTTAGGGTTTTCGTGCAATTACAAAATACTTACAGTTTTTGTAAATTTTGCAAACCGTTAAAGGTGTTGTTTTGAATCGTAGTTATTTTGTTGGACTCCAGCCACCTAAAATAGATTTTTTGAATTTTTGAATCGATTATTTTTTGCAATAAGCATTCAGTCGTTTGCCTTCAAAATCAAAAGAAATAAACAGAATCTCCGAACATAGTTACAAGTATACGTTAAGTTACATGTGATTTATGTTATTTTCATTTCTTTAATGTTCATATCTTATTTGATCTGGATATCCTTTACATACTTTTTTTTTTTACCAATAATTATAAATAACAATATTTTCTACAAGCATTTTGTTTTTTTTAAATGAAAATCAAACATAGGTGCAAAGTCGGAATAATGATTAACCTATTTGAGATTTTAAATATCTATCCATATTTTCAAGCTAATACCAAAGTACTTAGCTACTGGGCTGTAGATCCTCTTGGTCCAATATACATTATAATGTCATTGTAAAAAAGAATAAAAATGCGGTACATGTAAATAATCAACATATTATTAACTGTACATAAATACCAAAATCCATCCTTCACAAAAAGGAGCCCAAAATTGTCTTAATTTTAATTCAAATGAGAACGAGTATTTTATTCAATATCCTAGACGGTATGCATTTATTTCTCTAATGCGTTTATAGTTGGTTAGCAATGAAAGTAATCTTTTTTCCTTAAATGGAAAATATGATAATCATCTTTTAACTTGAATTGAAAATCAATCTGTTATTTTCAAATACATGTAAATAACCGTACTGATTACAAAGAAATATTTTTATATTCAACCAAGCAGACCAACATATACTGTGAAACGTCAAATTTTCGTTGGGTTTAATTTTCATTGTTTTAGAGGTATCGAGAGATCCACGAATTCTTTACCACCACGAAATGAAAAATTTAATATGTATTTCTACCCAACACTTCTCCAACCACAAAATGAAATCCTCATAAATCAATATTTTTTCCCTCAAACCCCGAAAATTTGCTCCTACGAAATATGTCATTTTATTGTATGTTTTTTTCAATCGAAATATTATTAGAATCATACATGTACCAGAACCTCAGTTATCAATTATTGGTTTCCTTTTTAGTCCGTATAGTTTATACACAATCCACAGAACAAGTTTAGTGAGATATATTGCGAATAAAATGTACATGGATTTTAGTATCAACCCACGAAGTGTGACCAATATCAAAAAACTATAAACAATATAACTCTGTGAAAGGGACATAACACAGGGACCCTGAAAATTCCAGCGGAGGGATCAGGCGCCTCATCATTATATTCATGGAGTAATCAAGGAAGTAGTCACCCACCGTGAGCACAATGCAAAACTTTTAGAGGCAAGGTTTTGATTTAATTTACATGTTTATGAGTTTATGACACTTTACTTTGAAAGTAGTAAACTTTATTTACGACACAAACTGAGATTTAAATATTATGAAAATAAATCGGGATCGGCATACCAAAATGGATATTTGTAGACTGAAAATTGCAGAAAGACAGTCTGAAATCTCTTTTGGAGGATTGTATTAAAATTCGAATGATTTCATTTTTAATATTTAATTTAGCTGTGGATGTTGGAGAATCATATTTCTGATTCTATCACAGTCTTGCTATTCATGTTTTTTTTTCTCACAGGCAAATACACTATCATAAAAGTACGTGTAACGAGAAAGTTACTACTATGAGATCTATTGGCGTCTTTAATGATGCTATAAATCACGTGACACACCCGTTCCTTGAAGCACTAAAGTTTGGTTGATATACCCATCACTGATCTTAGGTACTTTAATTTCTGCAAATTTATAAAGCTACAGCCCGGGAAAGAGCTTTTTAAATGAAACCTGCTCATTAATGACACAAGGTTAACATTGTTTTTTCGAATTCGACACATGGAAAATTTTCACAGATACAAAACACTCACAATTCCAGTAAATTTGGCAAACCATTAAAGACATTGTTTTGAATTATGCTTATCTTATTGTAGGATAGCCATCTGGAAAAAATACATAAATTCATACAAATGTTTTGCTACAAGCATTCAGTTTATTTTGAACGAAATGACATTGAAACGTGAAATCAGCGAATATATTGTATCCGAAGACTTAAGCTGCTGGTGTTAGTAAATTACATATTCATAAGCATAATAATGTACAAAATACTTCAATCAATGACATTATTATAGCTTAATGTATTTGTAATTATCATGAATAACTAAAATGGATTATAGCCCTTATAAGAAAAAGGCACAATTCAAAGATATCTACCTAGATTGCAGTAAAATTACATTTATTTATTTCTGTTTTACATTGTTAATCCTTTTTTCAATGTCTTGGACGTTATGCAATGATATCATTTTATGCTTTAATGGATGGTTTGAAATGATAATGCTATGTTCTTGACTCATAACATAAGACGACGTTGAATGCAAATTCTTGCCTGAGACGTCGCGCACAGATTTGGGGCTGATTTTGTAACGTCAAAATATATTTTTCTGACGTTATTGTATACGTCGTTTAAGCGTAAAAACGTAAAAAATTCAAGGCGTAACAAATCAGACTAGACATTCAATTTTAGTCCCGGTTTTTTCTAAAAATGTCTTAATTTTTAATGTCTCTTTAAATACAAAATTTTATTTATTTGCACATTTTAAAAATAAATGTTTTATCTGAAAACGTTTTGCCGGTAAATAAACAATTCAGCTCACATTGGTGTTATACGCCCGGTTAAATACCATAAAACGCATATTTGTGTCGTAGTAACAAACCGACTAGACATCAAAATCGCTCTATTAATCTCCCCTACTGCTTGCTTATAATAATTTAAAGAAACATTTGACTACTTCTTGATTTGCACATTTCATTTATCAACTTAGTTTTACAAAAAGAACCTGTTATATAGTAAAAAATCTTTATCAAACACTCTATCATTTCTTGTAACTTGTCAAGATTACGACATATTACGGAATGCTTCTTATTTTACGAACAGTCGGAACAGTCTGTAAATTAGAAATTTATTAATGAATGTTGTGTGACATCATCATAGGAAGTTATAGAAGCTTTGTACAAATTTCCAGAAAAATCCATCTAGCTAAAACGATAAAATGACCAAAAGTACCAACGCCCGTCGTTTACAGTGTTACAAGTTACGCAATTTCTATCCCCAATACCATGCGCGACGTATTCATATCTTAGCAAGTTTAGATTACAAATAAGCCATAAAGTGAAACATTCAATCAGGATTTGTAAAGAATAACGATGCAGGTACTGTACGCTTTTGGATACCCACCCCTTATAATAAAAACATATATATGAATGAAAACATTGATCATATTAGAGCTTGTGATCACAACTAAAATGTAGTTGAAATAAGCTTTTTATTTTGAAAAAAAATCTTTCGTTACTATCAAAAGCAAAAATTATATTTAATGAATCAAATTCATAAATACAAAAAGTTTTAAAGTGCACAATTACTTAATATGACATCGGGAGACCGAATTGCAAAACTAGCAACATGTGCTTTGAAATTCACACATTTATATGAGTTACAGATGAGTCGAAAGATGGACACCAAAAGAAAATCCCATTAAATATACACCTTGCGCCAATAACATTTCTTTAATTCCACTTGCTTCAAGTAATCAAATCTCAGAAATACGTTGTGTAATACACAGAATCATTGTATGCAGAATACGCATGTCTGTATCTATGCACACAAATTTAAGGGATTTTTTTTTTGTTCAATAATTGTGCCTGAGATATAATTATAAAATATTGTAGAAAATAATATAGATGCCACATTCAATTTTTGTTAATACTGGTCCCATTTTAAAGCAGGTAACAATAATGTCTTTGTAAGACTCGTTATTACAAATGCATTTTAGAGGAACTTTAATTTGATGCTACAAGTGGCAATGTAATTTATATTCATACGTAGTACCCTTTCTAAGGAAGATTTTTTTTTCAAAATCATATGTTTGTTTTAGGTATCTTTATGATTTTATGTCATACATATTTTGGTTGTTGAATAAAATAATCAATGTTTGCATTATTACTCTAAGTTTCTAACAAAATACTTCTAACAGACACGAATCGGCCTACGTTACAAAATAAAAGCAAACATACAATATTCATAAGATTTCAGAAGATGTTACTCCTTCTGGAAAGATTTCTTTTCACTCGTTTTATGAGCATTTTTATCAATCCCTTACATTTAAGTAATAAATGTAAACACAGCAATCAACTAAAGCAAGCACGTTTATCTCTCAGTTTTAAAGGAATGAAATATATGAAGATAACGAACAATATTCACGATCAAAAGTCCATTCAAACAAACAAATCAGGAGCAGAGGAAACATGGACCTCTGAAACATCAGAGATGGAATTAGGTGCCATGGAGGAGTGAGCATCCCCTACCGACCGGTGACACCCACCGTGTTATCCTTTTCATGATCGGGAAAAATTCATTCACGACAGCATTTGTTATTGATGTTTTTAAAACAATTCAAGACCTAACCACTCCTGCTTCAAATGTGACATACCAAGAAGAAAATCATCTTGCTCCGTATTTAACAAGTATGACAAGACCAAAAGCAAGCGAAGGAAATTCGGGACCTTTTGATTGGTCATGTTTAAAAGAGAACATGGGATGCATGTAAATAACACTGAAAAAATATTTGTTAACACATTGAACATCCAAAGATGTTTTTCATCATAGAGACACGCATCATACAAATAGCTCATCATTTTGTGGTTCTAATAGTATTCAGTAAAATGTACTTGTCAAGCATGTAGAACGTCACTAACAGTTATTACTATTGATATTTATCACTAACTTTAGGTTTTCGTGCAACTATAAAATACTTACAGATGTTGTAAATTTTGCAAACCGTTAAAGGCATTGTTTTGAATCGTAGTTATTTTGTTGAAATCCAGTCGTCTAAAACAGATTTTTAAAATTATTTAATCGAGTATTTTTGCTATAAGCATTCAGTCTTTTGCCTTCAAAATCAAAAGAAATAAACAAAATCTCCGAACATGTTTACAATTATTAGTCTA